AGACAGGGAGATCAGAGCCTGCACACCACTTAGCAGGATAATAAAGGAAATCATCCTTGATTATCAGTGCTAATTTGGACACTGCCGGTAGCTTGTTATGCGTGTTCTGAGTAGCATTTAATTAATTCAATTGCTTGTTAATGAGGGAAGTGACATGTGGGGAGCAGATGCCACCCAACTGCAGATGGGTTCTGGTCAGCCCTTCACAATAAAATCTTCCTTTTTTTTTTTTTTTTTTTTTTTTTAATTTATTTTTAAAAACCCCCTTCCCCCACCCCTGAAACGGGAAAGGTGTCAAGCGTGGAGAAGCATTGAAAAGGCACAAAACACTGACCTCATCAGGCCAAGAACCGCCAAGAAACCGGAGCTGACAATGCGGACAGAGAGGTCCCGATGCTCCCCCAGGCCCCGTTTGTGACGCTGCCGCCTTATGCCAGGAATCCAAGACCAACAGCACCATAACAGCAGCTCCAAAAGGAGCCAGAGATGAGGCATCCCTACCAGACCCAGGATACGATTCTGGGATCCCAAGTACCCTGTTTCCCAGGGCTTGCCCTTTATTTGCACTGTCTAAAAAAAAGGATTAATTATTTTTGCGAAAAAAGACGGTACGGGTCAATTTTTTTCACAGAAGACATGGTCTAATATTTTTCATCAGTTATACCCCAGAAGGCAGCTCAGCCTCGGAACAGCAAGCCAGGCTTTAGTGCAGGACTGTAAAACTCAGCTAAATACAGTCGAGCTGCATAATGTTTTCTCGACACCATTAAATTCAGTCATTAGTGAGTGAGGGATCAAACTGGATCTCACAGTGGAAGGTGAAAGGTAATTCCCGGCACTGCTGGCTCCCAACTCCACACTGCTCAGCCAGCACTGGATTTTCCTACCACCTTTGGTACCCAGAACAAACAGGGTGACTGCTGTGCAAACAAACCCGAGCACGACTGCTGCAGATGCTCCAGCTGAAGAGCAGAGCTTAAAACCACGCCTGGGCTTCTGCCACCCATCACTTAAAAAATAGTTTTAATGGAATTGGGTGTTTGTCCTATTTATGAATATTCTTAAAAAGATACCAAAATGGTGGAGCCTTTTAAGGTTTGCACTTAAGGTTAGCCCTTTAGGGTAGCTAATGCAGATATCTGGCATCACTTGAGTAGGAAAACAAGAAGCAGGGTGCCTGGACATGACCCTGCCTTCCCTCCGCTTGCCCAGCAGCTTCCAGCTGGTGGAGGTGACACATCATCCCAGTGAGACAGAGATGGAGACCTTGGGAGCTCAGAGGAAGAGGGAGAGGGAGCAGATAATCGTCTCCTGGAGTGGGCAGGGGGATGGTGGCAGCTTGTCCCCTTTGGAAAAGGCCAACAACATCTCAGGAAGTCGATGGTGGCAACCAAGTCTGCAGACAGAATCCACGTGGGTAGGAACAGTAATGTGGAGAAAGCAAAACCTGCAAGGTGTGCCAGGAGGAAGGTAAATACCTGTAGGAGACTGACAGACCAGTGCAAAAGGCCCAGGTCACACATGGCACAGAGTCCCCAGGCCGGCTTCCCCACCTCTCCAACGTTCCCGGAGCAGCGCTGCCCCACCGGGACACTCGTGTGCTGCCCCACTGCAAAGCACCGCTGGCAGAGTGTGCTCAAACAGTATCAATAGCAATTAGAGGAGAGTCCTGATCTCATCCCCAGCCCCGGTTAATTGTCGCAACATTGATTTACTCTAATTTGACTTCTCACTCCAAATTAAACCCGCATTACCGAGGGAGGGACTGCAGGCAAACTCTGCCCGCTCCCCCCGCCAAGACAGTAAATTTAATATTGAATACACTCACAAAAAAACCTGGTGGTTGTTGCACGATCCATACTGAGAGATCTGTTTCCTTTCTTTCCCCCTTTCTCTTTTTTTCTTCCTGTGAGTAATTAAAAGATGCTTTTCTTGACTAATGATGCCCCTGTTTGGAAATGGGAAGTCGATACTCCTGCACCAGCAGTCAGCTCCAATTTGTCACAGGGCTCCCGAAGTTTGAGCGGCGGCTCTCAGGGCTCTGGTAATTGCTGGAACCAATTACCAGCTTTCCAAAGCTGACCTAGTCATGGACCCATGGACACCCCTGCTCAGGGCCAGCTGGTCCCCGTTCCCTTTCATACTCAGGATCCACACGTGCTTAGGTTTTCTGCTGCCTCACCAACTTTTTCTGCTGCTTATTCCCCCTTCTTCCCTGGGATCACACCAACACCCTCAGCCAGACCTCTGCCTCGTCCTACTGCTTTATCCCACACGGCTTCCTTGGGGAGCCCACCACACCTGTGCTCCCAAAACCTCTCAGGTCAATGCTTGAGGCCATCCAAGGTGTTGCTTTTGATCCAGAGGCACTGAACAACCTGGAAATCTGCTTATGGAATTCCAGAATGGTTTGGGTTGGAAGGGACCTCATTCCATCCCCTGCCATGGGCAGGGACACCTTCCACTAGCCCAGGCTGCTCCAAGCCCTGTCCAAGCTGGCCTTGGACACTTCCAGGGATCCAGGGGCAGCCACAGCTTCTGTGGGCAACCTGTGCCAGGGCCTCCCCACCCTCCCAGCCAAGAATTCCTTCCCAATATCCCATCTAACTCTGCCCTCTGGCAGTGGAAAGCCATTCCCTGTGTCCTGTCACTCCAGGCCCTTGTCCAAAGTCCCTCCCCAGCTCTCTTGGAGCCCCCCAGCACCAGCTCTCAGCTTTCTTCCCCTTCAGAAGGGGCTTTGCTAAACGCTTCCATCTTCCCTAATCTCCAAACATCCTTGGTCTCCCTCTGTCCCTTCTCCACTGGAACTCCAAATCTCAGCTCCCCAAATTATTTCTTCTCACTTACTTTCTTGCCTCTTCCCCCAGTCCCTCAGCTTCAGTTGCCTCTCTCCCCTTCAATCCCCAACAACAAAAAAAGAGGGGTTGTTTAACCCTCCTTTCAGGTCCATGTTAGCTGCTTCCAATGGGATTCCTCGTGCCAAACTCCAAACAGCACTGAGAAAACGGCACACACAACTTCTACCTGAACAACCTGAACTTACTTTCTTGCCACAGCTCAGACAGAAGGATTGTGATGCTGGCAGAGACCAAAGTAAAGCACAAAAGGAGGCACACACTTGGAAGAAGCAGAGCTTTGTGGTATTTATGTGAAAAATCTCATTTCAGTCCCTGCTGCAAACAGCAGAAGGATGGAAGCAGCAAAGCAAGATTACAATTGCTTTGTGGGAAAATTTTCACATCATCTTAGTTCTGCTTTTTCTAGTACCTCTTCCATCACACAACTGTGCACTTGAACACAGAGCTGGAAATTCCTATTTATAAAATGAATCTTTTTGTCCCAAAATGTTAGGGAATGCAGGAAAGAAAGTGCAATGGTGTTGGTGACAATCAGAAGCAGCTGAATATAACCACGAAGATGTACAGAAACAAAGCAGGAGAATTAAAATAAGCCCTGAGCATAAAATACAAAGAGAATAAAGTTGATTTTCTATAAGTAAAACTCAATCCCAAACGAATTACTTAATTTAAATGGATGGTGCTCTTTTTATCACAGTCACACGGATTTCAGATTTTTCATGATGTTTATTATATGACTACTAAAGTAATGCAATCTTTCTTTTTTTAAAATAAAATATCAATTGAGTGTAAGCCTTTTCCTTGCAAGTATTTAGAACTGAGGCATCTCTCCAGCTCCTCTCAACAGTAAGGAGAAACATGTATTTGTCAGATGCAAGAACATGAGAACTCTGGATTACACTGTACCTGATGAAATCATTATGTCACCTGTCTAATAAAACATACACCTACAGCAGGAATCCCCTTTATGTCTGAACAAACCCTCTCCTTAGGTCTCCCTGAGCACTTCTATATGCAGTGATTCATCTAAGTAGCCTGATTAATGTAGTGGCTTCATTCTCGAAGATGAACCAAAGGTGGCACCACAAATTCATTTTTCAGGGCTAACGAAAGAAGGCAACAAGAAACAGTTGACTTGATCACACACAACAGCACAAACCTACTCCTGCACCATGGGAGGGGGCCCAGGTTCACCTGCCATTTCACCTGGGAAAAGCAGGATCCTGGGATACACGTGGACAAAGCCAAGACAGAATTCCTGCCGAGCTCTCCCGTGTGCAGGAGGCAACACCGAGAGCTGAACCTCCATCCTGGGATGGAGCCCCCCCAGAGCTCCTGCTCAGACCCCGTCACAGCCTTCTGAAGCCAACTGCAAAGCCTGGCCCAGCTGTGCAGGCTGGCCCAGCAGGTCTTTGTCCTGCCTGAACCCTCTGCCACTGCTTCCCCTGAGCCAGTATGTTAGAGCCAGCCACCTCAAATCTACTGAAACCACCAAAGCATTTCCAAAACATCTTTCTTTGACACTGAGCAGATAAATTAAGCACAAAAACCTTTAGGTTTTGGTAGGACAATGGATCACAGACAGATTTTCACTGTGTGGAGCTACAGGATGTAGGTAAAATGCTGTTCTCACAGGAAACAACCCCTCCACCAGCTCATGGTTTCACATACATCACATAAAAAGTAGTAATCAAGTCCATAGTGAGCAGGACTTTGAACATCTGAGAGGAGAACCCAGAGACCTGACAGCCAGGTACAAATTCCTGAGTGAGCTTGAACTTCTGAAGGCAGATTATTAATCATAAAGTGATAGTCCAAGAGCCAGGAACTTTGTGGCCGAGCGAGACAAAGAGACAGGGCAGGGTAATTTAGGCTGAGGAAGAGCCAGGAGGGAGGTTTCCATCTCCCACTGGTTTGTCGGTCAGTCACTGAACAAAAACACTGCTGAGCTGCTGAGGGAACCTCCACAAGAGGGAAAAAGTAACGGGGTCACTCAACTTCTGACACCTGCTCTTCCTGGGCACTCAGCGAAGATATAACTCAGGATTTGTACAAGGCACATGGCGAGAGAGAGTTTAAAAAACAGCAGCATCATCCCCCCACCCGCCGCGCGCCAGGGCGAGACGGGCCGAGCAAACCCACCTCGAGGAGTCTGAGGAGGGCTTCATGTGGCCTTGGCTGTTCTCCTCCCACACACTGTTGGCCAGCTCGTTGCCGATGGCCGACATCACCTTGATGAGCTCGATGGGCCAGTCGTCCAGGTCCAGGGAGCGCACCCGGGACAGGTGCGTGCCGAGGTTGCGGTGGATACCTGAGCATTCGATGCAGATGAGGGCTCCCAGGTTCAGGCTGGCCCAGTCAGGGTCTGCAGGAGGAGGGACACGAGAGATTAGGACAGTGAAACAGCCAACAGAACGCTGCTTGTGGATAAAGAGCTTGGCTCCAGGGCTGTCTTGTCCGAAAGCGCAGCTGGGAGGGCTGGAGTGGGGTCAGTGGAGATGCCAGTGGAGATCCCAACCCTTCTGAGAAACCCTCAAGGAGTAAACAAAACAAAAAGTGGGTGTCTCAAAAGATGTATCACTCCACCTCCAGTCAAAAGAAAAACTATGAATTAGAGAGAAAAGGAGAAACAAAATGTAAGTGCAGCGATGGGCAGCGGGTGGTGAAGCAGTGGAGAAAGGCCCTCCCTGGGCATCCCGAGCTGCTCAGGGACAATTACAAGGGGAAAAAGAGAGAAAAACCGAAAGAACAAAAAACTCGACAAAAAAATAAATAAGGAACAACAACAACAAAATTCTCTCTTGCCAATCACATCAACTGCCTCAACACCCACCTATCATCAGTCACACATGGTTCTTACCCCTGACACTCTCTGGGGGGTGTTTCCATCTCCAAGATCAGCACTAAGATGAAAATGGGACACTTGGAACAGCCCCAGTTTTAGTGTTTGAGCCAGAAGGATTCCACCCACCTAGAATAACCCCACAAACAACAGGGCTGGGACAAACCTGAGGCAAGATGGGAAATTCCATTTCCCAGCATGGTTCAACTCTTTTGCCACTGCCCTGTGTGATTTTAATCCAGATTTGTAGGAATCACCCTCTCTCCAACAAACATTCACTTTCACAAAGGCAACTGAAGACACATGAGAGGAATGTTTGTTGTTTTTTTTTCTCTCCCCTGCTGTCAGATCTTCTCTTCATGCCTGTGCATCCCAAAGGACTATCCCAAATGCCAAGCAGGAAAATGGTAACTAACTAAGAGGGTAGGCAATTCTTACTCCCATCTAAATAAAATCTAGAGCTGACAGAAAATGAATTTCCAGCATTACCTTCCTTCCAGGAATATTTAATCCAAAGACTCATTTTAACTTTGTGCAACCCAAAATTGAAAAGTTATTTTTGGCAGCCAAAATACATGGAAACAAAACGTTTTGTAGTTCTTCGCCACGTCACGTTTGGACAAAAAACAGGAAGGGAAAGCATGTAATTTTAATTGAAAAGTCCCACATTTCACTGTGGGACTTTGATTCACTGACCGACATTTTTCAGTCAGCCCACAGAAATCCAAAAACATCCCCAACAAGAAAAATCCCCCATCTTATTCCACCTGAGCAGAAAAACACATCTTTTGTTTTAAAGTTTCTGTCCATAACAAGTCTCATACTACAGATAATATAACATCTATATTATACACATATATCATTCCACATCTCCAAAATATAAGGTGAGACTGAACTCCTGCCATGCTTTCTAAGCTTTTGGTGTGACAACCAGGACTAAGTCCTTTCCTGCATAATTCTTCAGATCACCTCCAGTGTTATTTTGCCAATGGGGGAAACAATCTGAAAAAACAGCAATTTGTTGGTATAAACTTAAACACTGCAGATAATAATTTAAAATTTGCAACCTGTGACACAGAATGAAATCCCTGACCTACAAGGGTCAGGGTTATCCTCACAAAAATCAGAAGTGCAATGAGCTCTAAGAGGCATGAACTCAGAATGAAGCAAGAGAATAAAATAGTGGTTTATATTATTCCAATTATTCTGACAGAACTGATGTTAAGGACCTGACCTCCCTCCCAAATACCTGTCAGCTTGAAGCATATCCAGTGTATTTTGTACTGAATAAATTCTTTAAATATTCACCTACTTCAGGGTATCACAGAATGGTTTGGGTTGGAAGGGTCCTCCCAGGTGGCAGCACTGAAGGAGTCCCCAAAGCCATAACCAAGAAATGTCACCCAGACACTGTTTTAAATTTCGACAATCTGACAACACACACATTTTAATCCAGATTTGTAGGAATCACCCTCTCTCCAACAAACATTCACTGTGAAGGTGGCAAATGGGGAAAGGCAAGGGTTGAATTTGTTACAGAAGTGAAACTGTTCTCACCAATTTATACCAAAGAACCCACACATGGTTAACAAGCTCTAACTATTCAACGTGGGTTTTTTTCTTTCAAGATGATGATACAAAACCAAGCTCCCTTTTCCTGCTGATGCCAAGAGTAATTCTGAACTGGAGGATGCTCACAATACTTACAAGCACAGGGCAGGCTCTGCTCCAGGATGGACACCCAGGTTTGATGGTAAAAGGAAGAAAAAGCCCCCTCAGTGCAGCCAGACCTGCTATAAAGCTACTTTCCCCTCTTTTACTTATTCACAATTTGCCAATCAAAATATGAGGGTTTTAGCATCACTGAATATATCCAGACAACAACATTCAGCTGTCCATATTCTCCAAAATGTTTGGCTCTCTCCTTCCCTAAAAGCCTCCTCCCCACTGTGCCTTGCACCTCAGTCACAGAGATCATTTGCAGGCGAAAGCTCTTTTGGGAGAATAACCCCTCCCACTGTCTCCTTCACCCCTCTGGATCCCAGGAGGCTGGTGAAAGGCTTTGCCATGCTAAATCTGAGTTCAGCAGGTGTCAGATGGGCTGAGCAGAGGGAATCCCTGAAGGGAGGAGCAGACAAGCCAGGGAAAGAAGCAGCAGGGGTGAAGGCATCTCAAGTCACAGCAGAGAGAGAAAAGTCTGTAACTTTGCTATTCCTTGAGAGGTTTGGGTTTTCTCCTGTTCTGCACATAAAACTGTATCTTGTGATGGGTAGGACAGGATTGTCCAGATTATTACTTTGGGGTTTGGCTCTCAAATACAAAATACCCCAGAGTAAGCGATGAGACTCCTGGGCTGGAAAACTCACGATGAGACTCTGTTTTTAAGCCCTCCCTATTTTCCTCTGCAGCAGCAAAGACCTGATGTTCCATGTTTTCCAGACACCTCAAAAGAGTGGCTCATATTTATCCTCTCATCTCTGTAAGACTGGAAGAGCCAAAATCCAGAAAATTTAGCTGGGTTTGCCTAAGCAATTTAATTCCCTTCAGTGGCTTCTCTAGACAGGGAGAGTGCTCTGGGAAAAGGCTCCACCAGTTTCCTTCTGAAATATGAAATCAGATCTTGGGCAATAACTCCAGCACCTAAAGAGCACTTAGCCTCACCTCTTGCTCTAGGATGGGAATGTTAGAAATAAGAACTTTGACTAACTTTAGCTGGAAGCTGCCAAAGGGCTGGGGTGCTGGCAGCAGACAGCTGCTGCTGGAATAACATCCAACAAGGCAGAAATTCCCCGGGGAAACAAAGTGCTGCACAAAGTGCTAAAAAGGCAAAGAGCTCTAGAAAGAGGAAGAATGAGAATTCTGAAGTGGAAGATTGATGGCTCTTGAACAGAGCTGAGAGATGGCAACATCTCATATTCCTTTGCTCCCAAACATCTGGCTCTGTGGAGATGCAAACTGTGTAAGTGTTCCACGGGAGAGCTGGGGCTTTTGGGGGTGAGGACCTGCCAGGCAGGGCAGGAAGGGAGAAAAGGGAATAAAGCAAAGCCCTGCAGAAAAAGCAGCAGGCTGAGGTTCACCTCCTCTGTGTGTGTGTTTACATTTTAAAATACATTGCTTTGGAAATATCTCACATTTTTCCAAAGGAACGACCGCGGCCTTAAAATCAGGAAGGTCAAGGGGCAAGACGAGGGTGCAAATCATCTCTAAGAACATAAACAGTTCCAGTCAGGATTCCAAAATCATCCCCCTTCAAAAGCTGCACCACAGAGCATTGCCAAAATGGGCTGTGCCACCCTGCCCTCTCCCTACAACATGTTCCTGGCACGTCCCTCCTGCTGGCACCACGCACGGGTGGCCAGCCTGGCCCACGGAGAACCTGGCTGAGACCCAGCCTGGCTGCAAGGGGGACAAAGAGAAAAATGAAAAAAAAACACAGTGCTGCTTCCTTGCACAGTCATTTTCCTGATTAAACACCCAGCCTGGTTGCATAAATCCTGGGATATGTGCCTGACTGGGGATAGCTGGATTCTGGGCAGAGCTGAGATGGATCACAGATGCATCAGGAGGATGTGTGTGGGTGTGGGAAGTTGTCTGCAGTGAAGGGACTGCACGTTAGATATATAAATTATAACCCCCATCTGTTTGTATTTATAAAATATAAATATATAGTCAACATAAAATTATCAGAAATATTATTTACAACATATTTATATTAGAAACATATATAGCTATAAAATATATAAATATAAAACATTATATATCTAGTTAGCAGGGTCTAGGAAAATGCCACCCACAGCTGAACAGCCAGTCTGGAGCAGGAATGAGCTCCACTGCCCCCCTGCTCTGCTCACAGGCAGCAGAGAGTATTTCAAATGAGCTAAATATACAGGTAGGTCACTCACAGACCCCATCCCTCTCCTCCACCACCTCACCTGCCTTCTACCTGCACTACATCAAAGCCCTGGTGGAAATCTCAATGACCACCAGACCTGTGTGAAAGAACACTGATAAATAAGAGTGGCTTTGGGCTGTGGGTGTTAAAATATCAGCCAAACCAACACTGTCCCTTGTTTATCATGAGCTGGGTCACCTTGAGTGGAACATAAAGACCAAACTGTGCAAAAGCACTTGCACTGGTGTATGAATGTCCATTTTAAACTGGGATGTCTTAGAATGGCTTAGACCAGTAGGCAAAACCCTAAACAGCAAATCTTAACAAAATACATACATATATATATATACACCCAAATAAATGAATATTTTTCCATTTAAAACATGTGCAAAAATTGCAAGAAAAGTTCTCACTTCCAAATATCAAAGAAATAAAAATGCACAAGTTCTCAATCCTTCAGCTCCCACAACTAATTGCTTTAGAGCAAGAGAACTTCCTTTTTGTGGCTTTGTTGCAAACCCCTGGAACTAAAGAGCACCAGAATAATGACCTGAGCCAGGGTTAGTGAGGTGAACCACAGCTCAAAGTATTCTCAAGAACACTCTTCTGAACACTAAGTATATGTTTTAGAAAATAAAAAAAAGAGAAAGAAACACAAAGGGGAAGAAAAAAATAATCTCAAATCAGTTTTCTAGTATCCAGATATAATGAGCAATGACTTTGGTTTCTTCTGACAAGTAACCCTAAAAACCAAACCAAAGGAAGACCAATCAAGCTCTGCCTCTTTGAAAATATTACCATGGCACATGTGCCCTCAAAGGAGGAAAATGGAAGTAACTGATGTCAAAAAGCAAACTTTTTTCTTTATACTCAAAGGAAAGTACAGAAATGCTGACATTTAGAGTGGCACGTGAAACAACAAGGGGAAAAAATTAGGATGCATCTGATGCAGCATATATGTGGTATAAATTAACATCAAATAAGTCTGATTAAGCAAACTCCATAATGAAGAAGGAACGTGCAAACAGTATCTGGGATGTAATACAGGAAAAGACAAAGCCCTGGTGGGTGTTCACACGAGTCTGGGCCAAGGAGAGTCTTGGTCAAGGAAAAGAGGTCAGTCTGCTCAAGTGAGTGGCTGTACTTACTCTGTGCTTCGCAGTCGACGCAGTGGGAATTGCCCCTGATGTTCCTGATGGACTGCAGGGCCATGGCCTCGTTCTGGCTGGTCAGGCGGGACTGCGGAGGGAAGGGAAGGCGTCAGCAACCAGGGCCCGGCACAGGGAGCAGGGACAACGGCAGCAAACCCACGGGGCACGGCAAGGGCCAAGGAATGTGAGCAAGAAACCTCAAGTCTTGGGTTTGCCTCTCAAGAAATAGTGATCTTTTGGCACCTCCAAGGCTTCTGGGGGCTCCAGCCTGGATTCTAACAAGTGGGGAGACAGCACAGAGGAAAATCGAGCGTGGAAATGAGCCCCCTTCCCAAGAACAGCAGTCACAGTGCAGGTTTGCTCCTGGAGATAAATAAGAACAGTATTTCCTGAGATCAATTTCTTTTATTGATGTGCATGCTCTTGCTAATGAAGACTAAGGGGTGGTTTGCAAAAGCAGCTGAAACCTTTTTATCACGAAAAGGTCAAGATTTCACCCGATGGCTCCCATTTGAATTCTCTCCACGATGACCTGCCTGTGACCTCTACCTGGACCTGGGGAGGCTGTCACAACATACAGGTGTTCAGCAGTTCAGCTCTACCCAGCTGAAGTGTCTGGAGGGCTCTCTGAGAAGCCAACTGTGACCTGCACCAAGGGCTGGACTCTTTGAGACAAAGTGATTCAAGCAGGACAAGGACCAGGTCTTGCAGGTGGAAATACCTCCTCCATGGGACACCTCCTAAACCTGCCCTTTGCTGTTCCAGCCAGCTCTTCTGACATGTTTTGAGAACCTCTCTGAGCCACTTACCAGCCACTCTTTATCCTCTTTTGTATCAATATTTCTGTGTAGGTGTTAAGGTGCAAACTTCCTGTTCTGTGCTCCCCTAACACACATCAGAATGTGTGAATCCACAAAAAGCAAGGGAACATGTACACCGTGATTTTCCTCCACCTCAGTAACGCATACTGGAAATAAATACACTTTTTAAAAGAAAATGGGAAGTAAATTATATTGTGGTGATGGTAATGACTGGTGTTTGATCTACTCTGGTACCTCAGGGCAGGGAAAGCAGGCATTAAATTAAAAATATGAGTCTCCTCTTTGCAATATAAAATCATGAAAGACAACTGTTAGGTGGGTAATATTAAAGGATCTACAAGTCTTTATTTTACAGTTATTGCCCATTTCTCTCCCTCAACCACCACTCAGCACCTTGCACTCTAACTGTGAAGTGTTTGCAGACACATTGACTTAAGATGTTCTCCCGAACATGAGCACTGGCTGAAGATGTCTCAGATTTTAAACATTTATTTTGCCGGGAAAGGAGAACAAATCCCTCCTGCCATCATACAAAAGCCTTTCAAGGTGGAAACCTGCTTCTCTTAGGCCATGTTTGCCCCAGAAAGCCCCAGCTCTGCTGTGGGTGTAACGCACGCGTTCCTCCAGGAGTACAGGTTTAAAATGCAGAGTTCTTGATTTGGCTTTCATCTGAATGATTCTCAGTGTTACTCTGTGCACCATACCTTGTTCTTGCTGCTCTCACACGACTGTAAACTGGCCAAGATCTGACTCTCTATGGCTTGGACCCAGGCGTCCCTTTCCTCATACGTGGTGGCTTCAAAGTGCCAAGTCTGGCCGGTGAGAGACACGATGATAAACTCAAAGTTTTCTTCTTGTTCTGAACAAAAAAATCACAATAGGAAGAAGAGACTGAGTTAGGGATATTGACAATTAGCTTAAACAATCTTGGTTGATGAGAATTTCTGCAATACAACATAACAGCTTTAAACTGAAAGAGGGCAGGGTTAGGTGGGATATTGGGAAGGAATTGTTCCCTGGGAGGGTGGGGAGGCCCTGGCACAGGTTGCCCAGAGAAGCTGTGGCTGCCCCTGGATCCCTGGAAGTGTCCAAGGCCAGGTTGGACAGGGCTTGGAGCAGCCTGGGCTAGTGGAAGGTGTCCTTGCCCATGGCAGGGGGTGGAACAAGATGGGCTTTAAGGTCCCTCCCAGCCCAAATCATTCTGGGATTCCAGACCACACAAAAGCAGGGCTGAGGTTTGAGCCTGGATCCCTGCACAAGGCACCAGGAAACAATGTGTGGATCTGCTGCTTTTTCCCTTCAAATGTTATATAGATAAAGCCCTGGTTTGGGAAAATACTCAGTTCCTGGGTGTGTTTGTGAGTTTGGTGTCAAGTCTGTACCTTTCTCAAACATTAAGTGGCCAACAAGCACTATTTAGATTTAAACCTGAGGTGCTAAGAGCTACATAATGTAAAAATCAAAGTGTGCCACAAAATAAAAGAAGAATGGACTATAAAGAGTTGACAATACAGAAAATTTAACAATTTACCCTCTTCTTTCAAGCAGTTTTTACATGCACAGATATATTAAAGAGATGTGTACATTTTCTCCTCCACAGCATAAACACTGGGATAATAATAATAATCACTGAGATATAATACAGGATTAAAATCAGTTCAACCTATTCAACATTCACGTTCGATATGGGAGATGAGAAAATGATCTGAGCAGCCAGCAGAGAGGGTCAGAGAAATATCCTTAGGGCTACTGCAGGATAAGGACAAGTATTCAGGCCAGAGGAGCAGCACAAGAAAATACCAGCAGAACTGCAATAAATGGACACACACTCTACCTACACATGGGACACCAACGGCAAATTAAAAAATCAAGGAAGCTGAAAACAGAGCAAGTGGAATTGGGAAGGGCTCGCATGAAGCATGAAAGAAAAGAATAATAAGAGCACAAAACTCTGGTGAACATCAGCCATAACGAGCTTTAGAAAGAGCATTTTGTCTGGTAATGACTTATTACATATTCAGAGACACGAACTACCCTGTTCCCTCTCATCCCCAGGCAGGCACAGACAAGGGACAAATCCAGCACGAGCTCTAAAGGCAGCACTGCTGCCACTGCCAGTCATCTTCCCTACCTGTGGGGTTTGCTTGGAGGTTACTTTGCACCTTGAAGTGGGAATAAACACGGAGTTGAAGCTTATTTTCAGGTGCAGGAGAGCACCTGAAGCAGCAGTTTTACTAAGAACACAGTGTGTGGAATAAGTGGGAAAAGAAATCATAGAATCCCAGAATATCTTGAGCTGAAAGGGACCCGCAGGGTCCAACTTCTGGCCCTGCCCAGGACACCCCAACAATTCCCTGAGGGTGTTGTCCAAACCCTCCTGGAGCTCTGGCAGCCTTGGGGCCGTGCCCAGTGCCCTGGGGAGCCTGTTCAGTGCCAACCACCCTCTGAGGGAAGAACCTTTCCCCGAGATCCAGCCTAAATCCCCCCTGACACAGCTCCATGTTGTTCCCTTGGGCCAAACATTAATGATCCAGCTGTACAGCTACAACTACTTTTCTATTTTAGTAACACTGTGTTACAAACAGGCAGAATCATTACCCAAAATGTTACGAATAAATCATGGGAAAAGCCTCATTTATCAAACAGAGCTCTCCTGTTCCCGAGGAAGATGTAAGAGGAGCTACCTGCACCATAAATGAAATTCTGTTCAGTCCTGTGCTCTGTCTCCTCTAGGATCACACAGTTAAGCTCTTCTATACCTGATCACCCACCACACCACTCCCCTGTAAGCCAAAGGTCTGGTACAAGCTGCAGGAGCTGCCTGCTAGACAAAATGGTCATTTTGCCACCTCAAGGTAAAAATTCCCCACGCTTCCTCCTTTTTATGCAGGCACAAGACTCTGTAGGGATGCAGAGACCCAGAAGAGGACAATGAGAGGGACTTCTCCAGTGCACTGGCAAAGCTGACCTCCCAAAGAGCAACAACTTGAATACAGGGTGTATAACTAACACTCAACAGCATACATGGTGTATATTGGAGTGTCTCTGCACCACTCCTGCACCAATCCATCCTGCTTTTAAGTTTGAGGCGACTTCCCAGCATTAGGATTCCAAACCTTGAAGGAGTTATGCACAACCAAGCTGCAGCATCACTGAATCCTCTGATCTCCCACTGAATAATGGTGATCAAACACAGGAAGCTGGTTTGTCCAGGTGACATACTGGTCCTGGAGCGTGTGCAGGGAAGGGAACGGAGCTGGAAAGGGGCTGGAGCAGCAGGAGCAGCTGAGGGAGCTGGGGGGGCTCAGCCTGGAGAAAAGGAGGCTCAGGGGGGACCTTCTGGCTCTGCAACCCCCTGACAGGAGGGGGGAGCCGGGGGGGGTCGGGCTCTGCTCCCAGGGAACAAGGGACAGGAGGAGAGGGAACGGCCTCAGGCTGTGCCAGGGGAGGGTCAGGTTGGACATGAGGAGCAATTTCTCCCTGGAAAGGGTGGTCAGGCCTTGGCAGGGGCTGCCCAGGGAGGTGGTGGAGTCCCCACCCCTGGAGGTGTTTGAAAGGCACGTGAGTGTGGCACTTGGGGACGTGGTTCACTGGTGAATCTGGTGGTGCTGTGTTAATGGCTGGACTCCACGGTCCCTAAAAAGCTGTGCCAGTTGAACACACCTTCCCTACACCTTCCCTGCTTAAACACACCAGTTTGTTTTTCCTAAGCTCCACTGTGAAACAAAAGCAGCACTGCCTGCTCCATGTCACCCCCAGGCAACGCCTGCAAAAGACAGGGAGCAAACCTGTACATCCTTAACCACTGCACACGGGAACAGGAGAATCCAGGCAGCAGGATGAAATTGTTCAGTTTTACTCTTCAGTCAAATTATAGGTTGTGCTATTTAAATCCCTGTGAGCCCAATCACAAAATTTTATTAAACAGTTTTCCATGTTTAACAGTTATTCATGGAAAGGTCCACTATAATAGTATTTTAGCACCATCAACCTGTCGAAATCAACCTGCCCAATTACTCCAAACTACATTAATAACACCGGATATTACACTAATTGTGTCCAGTTTCTATGCAGACGAGGTCCCACGGGGCTAATTCTGCATCCTCAGGGGCAAGCAACTCAGCCATCAGCCTGATTTCACCAGGAATCCCTCCTCATTACACAAGTTCAGGCTGTCAAACTTTTTTTTTTTTTAAAAAAAAAAGGTTAATGGGCCAATCAGTCATCAATTATTTCCTGGAAGGGCAGCAGAGGAAGGGTTAAAGTGCGAAGAACCAGCTGCCACTGACTTCCATTTGGAAGTTATTATCAACAGGAGATATCTAAAATGTTGTTGTTGTTGTTTGTTTTGCCTTTTTTTTAGAGTGGGAGGGGTGGCTGGGATGGGAAATGAGCCAAAACCCTGAGACTGTGATGACATGGAACCTAAAGCATAAGGAATTTTTTTCTGTTAGTGGAAGTGGGAGTGCATTCCATGAATTTTAGAAAAACCCCCGGACCACCAGAGCCACCACAGCACTTCCAAAAAGTTACACAATACCACTGGTGATGCTGCACATAAGGGTGGTGAGGCCCTGGCACAGGTTGCCCAGAGAAGCTGTGGCTGCCCCTGGATCCCTGGAAGTGTCCAAGGCCAGGCTGGACGGGGCTTGGAGCACCCTGGGCTAGTGGAAGGTGTCCCTGCCCATGGCAAGGGATGGGACTGGATGAGCTTTAAGGTCCCTTCCAACCCAAACCATTCTGGGATTCCATGATACTCTTTTCACCATCATCCTTCCATAGTCAAGTTACTGCATTTAACCTGAATTCACATTTATTTTGCTCTGCCAAAAGCCAGACATTGCCACAGCCCACCCACTTCTGGAAAACCAGAGACAATTTCTGAGAAGCAAAGGATCGTGCAAGAGAAAATAAACATTTAGGCACAGCCCCACTGCCTGTGTCTGTGGTGTGTGACAGAGATCAGATTTAGAAAACTACACTGAAAATTACCACAGGATACAATTAGTCTATAACTTCTTCCAGAGAACTCAATTAAGTCGATGAAAATGTGGGGAAAACGCGGGTCCAGAAGCGGTGACGCCTCTTGGTACCTGGCAAGAGCTGTTCTAAAGAACATGCAGGAATCACTTTGATATCAATTCCCACTTCCAACCTATTTTATTCTCAATAATAAGAACTGTATAAACCATGGACACCTTGCACCAGTGTTTGAACAAGCACAGTTCAAAGTCACAAAATCATCGAGTATCAGGTCAGAAGGGACCTCAAGGATCACCTGGTCCAACCTTTCAGCACTGAAAGTCAACAGAAGGCAAGGGCTCTTTCTGCCAGGCACTGCACAGTGAGAAAGTACACCCATTACACCCATCCCAAAAGTCACCTTTGAAACAAAAAAGTACTCCTATTTTTCACAGGATCATAAAACGATAGCACCGTTCAGGTTGGAAAAGACCTCCAAGATCATCAACTCCAACCACTTTCATGGGTATAAATCAAGGACTCGCCAGGCTTAAGGTGTTTCTCATAGGCACCCAGCAATATTTTGCCAGAATCAGAAATAAAAATAAATAAATAAATAAATAAATGTTCTGGCTTCCAAGGCAACCAGACTTTGCCCAAGGCAGTTGTCATCAGGGGTGCTGGTGCTGATCAACAGTAACTCACCACGCACGTCCGGTGGGCGATGCCACCCCCCCAGCAAACACTTCCCAGAAACAAGAAGTCAAGTGCAGCACCAGAAGATTCTCAGTGGTGCATTTCAAACACCCCCGAAGGCCCCTTCAAGGGCTGTGGTTCCAGCTGGAATGCTACTCACGCCTGCCTCCAGTAACACCCAGACCCAGCTCAGCTCCCTCTTCATCATGCCCTCCTCCCTCTCGCAAAAATCTCTTCTGCTCAAGCACCATCCTCATAACCCTCCACCCTTTCAAAAGGGTGGCAAGCAGGAGCTGCTGAGGTGCCCTGCCACGCACTGTGAGATGTTTACAACACACAGTTTGTGTTATTTACATCCTGTATAACGTTAACTCTCCTCACCTTTTGCCACTCGGTGTAAATTACCCCCTAACTTGGCAGATGTATGTTTATTAGCAGCCTCAATTAAGGAAATATTTGTGCCATGTCCCACTGGGCATGGCTATGCTAATACTTCTCTCCCCTTTCCAAACCCAGTGTCTAAATCTAATTAGTTCTGAAAATCAACCCTATCAGGACAATAGAGCTCTGCTTTTGCTCGCCCACAGCTCTTGATAAAGGTTGTGTTCCACTGGAAGAATTTTATACTGTTTTATATTGCTGCCCACGAGTGACAAACTGCTGATGAAAGGCACTGAACCCCCCCTACCATACGGATTTGTTGTTTTATTTGGGTGCCAAGACTTCTAAAAGACTTTAAAAATTCAGTTTATGCAGGATGTAACTTCCTGCACAGGCACAGCACCATGGCAGCGAAGGCATCACTAACTCTGAAACCAAAGGGAGGTTGGGGCTTCATGAATATCCAAACTAAAGGTTGCCCATCAGTGCCTGGCAAATCCGACCCAGCACTGTTTAAAATCACTGTTTAAAACTGAGAAGAGTGGAAAAATGAAGATTTAATATCTTTATGCAGGTTAAACCACAGCATGCAGAGCACAGGCATTAAATTCCATAAAGATGATCCTTTCCACTCTGCTGCAAAATCATAAAATCACAGAATCCCAGACTAGTTTGGGTGGGAAGGGACCTTAAAGCTCACCTCATTCCAGCCCCTGGGCAGGGACACCTTCCCCTAGCCCAGGCTGCTCCAAGCCCTGTCCAACCCGGCCTCAGTCTGTTGATACAGGAAAAATAATTCTGTATTTTAATAGTACTACAATGATAGCAGGTGCCAGTGATTCCAGCAGGTCTTAACACCAGAGCAGGGTTTGTTTCAAGCATAACTTACTGCTACTAGATACTTTTCCCCCCTGGAGAATCAAAGGATTGCTTAAAGCCTGGTTGCCTGCAATAGGGAGTGGGTGGGACTTTTTCACTTGTCAGTGGCTCCCTATAGAAAAAACCCGGATCTGAAAACTAAGAGTTTAGGAAAATCCTAAAATTCACGAGAGTAAGATTTCTTGCAATGATAAAAACTGATGGAGGACAGAGCTGTGGAATTTTTACCTCCTTTCCACCTGACAGGAGGGTGGAGCCAGGTGGGGCTGGTGTTTTTTCCCAAGGAACAAGTGACAGGACAAGAGGACAAGCCTCAAGCTGTGCCACGGGAGGTTCAGGGCATCAGGAAGAATTTCTTCTGGAAAGGATGGTCAGGCCTTGGGAGGGGCTGCCCAGGGAGGTTTGGAGTCCCCACCCTGGAGGTGTCCCAGGAAGGCCTGGTCGTGGCACTCAGTGCTCTGGGCTGGGGGACGAGGTGGGGATTGGGCACAGGTTGGACTCGGTGATCCTGGAGGGCTTTTCCAACCTAAAGGATTCTGTAGTGCCCTCAGAAGGTAGAGTCCTTCAGGGCTCTTACACCCTGTGAAAATCCCCCCCTTGCCCACCCACAGCACTGCTTTTGCTGTCCAACAGCCAAGAGGGAGGAGCCCCACGGACGGAGGATGCTCCAGGATGCCACCAGGCTGGGCACCCTCACACCCCCTCAGCACAGCTGAGCTGCACAGTTCTCCACCCTAACCTGAGACTGGCTACCCAGAAGCACCCAGAATACCTAAAAATAGCGACAAGAATCACTGGAGAGGCTGCTTTCTGCCCCAAGACTTTAGAACCCGGACTGTAGGGATGGAAATATTTTTGGTGTGTAAATAGGTGCAACTGAGCAAACACGAGCTGAGCACCAGAGCAGATTTGTTATCCTGGACTGTCATTTCCCATCCTCGTTCTCTTTTCTGAAGGCACAATTATGGAAGCACGTGGCTTTAATGCCCACAATGCTCATTAACTCGACATGTGCCCGTCTCACCACTGCAGCTCTCACACGGGGGCTGAAGGGACCAGCTCAAAGCTATGGAGAACTCTGAACCTCCAGTTTTTAGGGGGGAGAAAACATCCAAATAAAGATTCATTTGCCTAATTTTAGAATTTCTTTCTGTGTCTCAAAACTCCTTGGGCCATGGCCAGCAGGACTACATTCCCATACCACGGTGCCTTTGATCCTTAGTTTGATGAGTAAGATAAAAGACCCCTGAAAATAGACATGCCCTAAAAAAACCTTTGTCCGTGAAACACGAGGGAATTCTATATATTTGTTTCCCTGCTGCGATTTAGTAACAGGTAGATATAAAATCACAAGCTTCTCAAGCAGTAAACCTGGAACAACAAATATGCTGATTAGACGAAAAATTTGGCTGGGAGATAAAGACCAGCAACTACAGGGAAAATTAAAAATTACTAAAGAGGAAAGTGAGGGGGAAAAAACCCAATCAAATCTTATGATTATCTGACAATCATTTTCTCTCATTGTGTATTGAAAAGAAAAGAAAAGAACAAAAAAGACAGCTCTGAAAGGTAATAATTTTATGTTTAGACTGAGAAACAAAATAAAATTATACTTTAAAAAAGCTACCTTAACAAGCTGGAATAAAATCCCAGTTTTGTTTCCTGCACACACTTTGTTTGGCAGGGAGAGCAACTAGCTGTAATTGTGCAAAAAAAGGAGGGTGATATAAATCACCAAAGGTTAATGACCAGGATGTGAACAGAGGGACTTGTTTACAGAAATAGCTCGCAATTTAAAATTTACAAGAGATTTAATGCCACCGCTTGGCAATCACTAAAATCAACAGCCCAGAAAACAGTGACATTAAGAAAAATATTACAGTTATAATCATTCCAAAATAAGTCAATTAGTGTTAGGGCAGGCGCTCGCCATTACTTGACCCATTTGGTTTGCACTTAAGTGAAGAGAAAAAAAAATCCCCCTCCCTTCCAGCGAGATTACTGAGTTGTGACCTATTTTGCATTCCCTGTTTCTTACACCATCCCTCTTCCATGCTGCTGGAGATGGTGGTGCTGGAGTGTTTTTTTCACCCCCTCTCCTTGCCTGGTTTCCAAGTAATCCTGACCTTTGACATTTGTAATAATAATAATAAAAAAAAATATATATATAAAAAGGCAGTTTATAATTGTGTTGTTCAAACGAAGGTGGAGGTGTGGGGAGAGGGAAATAAATATATAAAATTCCATGTGCTATTATACAAAAGGCATGACGGCTGTCTTGGGTGGGAAAAAAAGCAATGCAAGTCAATTTGTGAACTTTGGCACCAGGTGACCTTTAGAAATACAACAATATCCAGAATTTACAAGCAAGAGCAGCACATGCAAATGACCCGGCACTGTCTCGCCTCTGGATTAGAGCTGCAAAGAGCATTATGGAGAAGGCTTGCACAAAACAAATTAAGATTGTTACTTAAATGTCACGGCACACTATTGTATTTGGCTACAGATCATTACACCTGATACTAACACTTTTAAAAACTGTAATAACTTGGGAAATATTACATTGAGTGCCCGCACGGAGAAAGGGAAAATATATATGTATCTCCTGAAAAAAAAAAAAAATAAAAGGAGAAAATGGGTTCCTGAAGTAATTTAAACATCACCACTCCACGACTAGAGGGAAAGGTCAAGATTTAAGTAAGCTGAAAGGAACACAAATGGCAAAGTAAAAGGCACAACCAGAGAGACGGAAAGCCCAGGTGGAATGACTCTGCAAACACGGGTGGGACAGGCATGCTCGGGGCAAAGCTCACTTCCATGCCCACACTGGGGAAGGGACAGAGGCAAGGAGCACGAAGTTTTGGAGAAGAGGGGTTAAAAAAAAGGGGGAAGAGAGGAGGTTTCCATCTGGGACGGGTGGGTTTGTTACCTTCGGTGTTGGTGCTGCTGCTGCTGTATATATTTCGCAGGCTACCAACACGGTTTAGTTTCCAAGCTTTGCGTTTGGCTGCGTCCAGAGAGCAGGAGGGGAAGAGAAAAAAAAGAGAATAAAAATAAAGAAAAAGAAGGGGACAAAAAAAAAAAAAAAGAAAGAAAATCAATGAAAAAGGGGAGAAAAGAAACATCAAAAAGCATGTGAAGTAAAATACAAGCACGAGCCTGTTAACAAGTGAAGAGCTCCACACAGAAAATGCACACAGGACCACTCAGCCTCTCCAATCCATGGCCCAGACAGAAAAACTCTTGAGAAGGATTTTTCTTTCAGTCTCTACAACGTGACATGACAAGATTAAATGGATCTGCTATTGGAATAGACAAAAACAGACCAGGAGAAGTAAAAAAAGGCAGGAAGTATTTGTGCAAAGGATACAAGACTAGACAAAACAGCTACTGTAAAATGCAATTTAATTCATGACAGAACAGCCTGACAAGAGCTCCTTTTCCTCCAAAAGCCTGTAGGGATCACTTGGTGCCTGGAGTTCACCCTTAAACCTCCTTTTTACATCATCACCTTTAAAAACTGAAGTGATGATGTAATGACCTTGAATCCTCCTAACAGCAAATGCTATTTGTAGTGCTGAGCTCAGAGGCACTAAAATCATCACAGAATCACAGAATGGCCTGGGCTGGATGGACCTTAAAGCCCATCCAGTCCCACCCCCTGCCATGGGCAGGGACACCTTCCACTAGCCCAGGTTGCTCCAAGCCCCGTCCAACCTGGCCCCAGGCAGGGATGGGGCAGCCACAGCTTCTCTGGACATCACCTAATTATTCTGAAGAGTGTCAAGCAGACATTGATGCAATCAATGTTTGTTGGTCCTCCCTTCCTTCCCCCCTGGCAAATCACTGCAAAATCAAGGTGTTTATTTGGAAAGGGAAAAAAAAATAAAATTGATCCTTTACACAGAATAGTAACATCCCCATTTTATTAGAATTGACTCAAACTTTGAGATTCTCTGAGCTCCTGGCTGCTGTTTCACAATTAGCAGAAAATATTGCTCAAAACCACTCCACTCCTGTGCTCATTAGGGGAGAGCACATTTTCACCTTCTTTAAAATCGACGCATTTTGCCTCAAGAGTGAAATCCCAGCATGAGAAGGACGTTCAATCAAAAATATGTTTAGGCTGAGATTCATCAGACAGCAACTGCATGAAACATCCAAGTACACCAGGACACTGCTGGCACTGCCAGCAACTGAAAAACCAGGGAAGTGGTGGGATTAGCATCCCTGGAAGTGTGACTGTGGCCCCTGGGGACCTGGTTTAGTGGTGAACACGGTGGTGGTGCGTTAATGGTTGGACTCAACCATCTCAGAGGTCTCCTCAGGGACCTTAGACCCTCCCCTCTCCCACCACGGATGCTCCTCACCCTTTGGGATGACAGGGACATCACACAACGTACCGAGTACTGGGATACAATAATTTAGAAGTTTTCTTTCTGTATTTATGAGGGAACTTTTTGAATGCTCCACAAAAGTCAGACCAAATGGCTGCTTCCGGGGAAAAGGAACAGTGACATGAAGTCATTCCAATCTTTAACAAAAAGCCTGGTTTTCAGCTGAAGAACTAAGGCTGTTAAGCTATATGAGGTTTTAATAAAGCCATCTGCAGGCTTTTATGTCATATACAGAAAAGGAGGACTGGATTCGCAGTGACATCATCAAATCTGAAAGTGTTTTCACTGGGTGCATCCTTCAAGCTGAAAAAAACCTTTCTTTTTAACAAGTCTCAGCACCTACAGAGGCACAATTGCCCAGCAGAGAACTTGTTTTCCCTCTAAAACATTTACATATAAATAGGCAAAATCGAGGTTTGGCACCCCTCTGAAGGGAAGATGGTCTGCAGTGCACAGAGACCCTTTCCCAGTCCCTTTTCCATTTTTCACACTTTAATGGCATGTTTGAGTCTGGCTGTGTGAGCAGGAGTGAACTCTCAGCCTGGTTTTCTATTAACCTATTGATGAAATAATCCATTTTAATGTGGTAGGTGTCAGGTCTTTCCCTTCTCTTTAAACAAATGGACTTTTCCCACAGTGGTGCTGAGGTCCTGATACATCCCAGTGTGTCCTTTCCCACTGATTAGGCTCCAGCCTGTTTGCTCCAGGTGCTCTCCTGGCTTTGAGGATTCAATAGGATTACCAGCAGCAGGGTTTGGGCACTGCCAAGCGCAGCCTCTGGGGGTGACTGATGTGCCAGGACCCAGTGGAGCCTCCTACCCTGCCTGGCTTTGGAATGAGTGTTGTTACCGACCAACAAGGCTGGAACAGGCACCACAGGTCATTATTTGCCTGGTTTGGCTTTCACTTATATCACAGGATATTCAGCCTCTCCAGTCTGGGTTCACTTGCTGGGTCCAAAGTTAACTCAACAAAAGCTCTTGTTGCCAACTCTATTTATCTATATATCTATATCCATATTATATCTATATTATATCTACATCTATTATTTATATCATATACACACTTAAACAATCAAATCAACCCCAACTGGTTACCAAGAAAAAGCTGTAAGAAACACTCCATTATGTAACATCAAAACTCACTAATTAGGAAGATCCTTAAGGCAGATTGATTTGAAGTATCTCCTGGAAGTGTGTTTTCTTCCAAAAAAGCCACTAAGAAGTGTCTCTAACCAGAAACACACCTCCCTCAAACATCAAATACCTGGAATGAATTTAACTACATATACCCATATCACCAAGTGCCACATCCACTCAGTTTTTGAGCACTGCCAGGGATGGTGACCCCTCCGCTGCCCTGGGCGCCCCTTTCCAATGCCTGACCACCCTTTCAGGGAGGAATTCTTCCTGATGTCCAACCTGGAACGGACTCATACAGATTTGGAAGGGTCAGAGGTGTTTTCTGCTGTGGTTTTCCTACAAAGAACCTTAAACTGCTTAAATCAAACACACCAGGACACTCGTGAGGTGAAGAACTGCTACAGACTGGTTGCTGCAAATGGGGAAAGGCTGCAGAGCACACAGAGCCTGGAGATCATGGAAGCCTTTGCCAGGACTTGGTAGGCACTGACTGGGCTCACTGTGCTTTTCCAGAGGCAATTCCACTCCTTTATTTCAGCTTTCTATGTCCTGAGCTGCAATTTTTCCATTTGTGAGGCAGGGACTGTGATGCACATGCTTTGAAGTGGGAGCTGTACAGGTTACTTGATGGCTCTGCAGGTCTTTGAACATCCAAAACCAACCAAAAGAGAGCCCTAAACACTGAATCCAAGCAGAAGATACTTAAATCCAGTGGGAGATGATACATGTTGGGTCTCTCCATGACAATGGAGTGCATGACAATGCAGCTCTGGGAGGAAATCCAGCTGGATCTGGAGACAGAGAGGCCTCCCTTTGCTGATGTTTTTGAGGACTCCACTGTGAGCTGAACTATACCCACTTACACACACACACTCTGGATGTAAAACAGCCTCTCACATCTTCGAGTGAAAACAGGCATGTTGGTATCACAGAAGAAAACCAGGCTTCAGTAGAACCTTTTGCCAAGATATGGAGTAACTGGGAATCAGTTAAACTCGATCACTCCCAATTCCCCCCTCTCTTTGTACTCGTGCAGACAGTAACTTCCCAGCTGTGACCATCCCCCTGCAGACAGAATCTCTGTGGTTGCTTTCTTTAACAGGCCTGCTATTTATTCTCTGTTAATGAGTCTACTTGTCCTGTTTTGATTAGGTTTTGTAGTAAATATGTTTACTACCACCATGATCAGGTACCATTCTTTCTTAAAGCAGCAGATGTTTGTAGAAGGAATGTACCCACCTGTGATCTGAGGATCCATCTCCTTGGTACCAGGGAAGTTCTCTGAGGATGCTCAAGGTACTGTACTCAACAAAACCTCATATTAACCCCTTTAAACCTGCACTAATTCAGTTCTCTATACATTTTGATAAGCAGAAATATGCTTTTACTCTTAAGGAGAGTCTTAATACCTACAGTCTCACCCTGTTGCAGAACAGGAATTTGCCCAACACCACCACACTCTTTGGTAAGAGGATGGAAATGATTCCATTAAGATGCAACTCAGGAGATTCTCAGCCCATGGAAACTTGTCTCTGAGACTGTGAAAGGGCTTGACATTGTTTTACCCTTTGTGAAAGCAATGACAAAAATTCCTCCGAAAGGGTTAAAAAAAAAGCAGCCCAAACCCCAGGCATACCTAATATACGACATTTAGAAAGTAAAATAAACTGGAAACATTGTGTTTCTAGACCTGTCCAACACCTAAATTTTAAAATAAAAAAAAAAATCAAACCACAAAGTGCACAGAACTTAAAAATCACAGAATCATAAAATCACAAAATCACAGGATTCTCAGATGGTTTGGGTTGGAAGGGGCCGTAGAGCCCTTCTCATTCCAGTCCCCTGACACAGGCAGGGATGATAAATGTGTCCATCAATTTTTTATAATTTCTATCAAATATGTACAGCTTATCTATTAACCCAGATTTCCAAAGGAAACCTGAACATGACTCTAAGGTTTCCAAACACACCTGTTTGGTGCATGGATGTTACCAAGACATACATCCCAGGGGGCTAAAAAAATGGATCCAAGAGACGAAAAGTATTTCATATGGTAACAGTCCTAAATATGCTCTTTTTGGACTCCAGAATACTCAAAAAACAAGCTGATGTAAAGTAAATCAGTAAAGTAAATTACTAAAAGTGCTGAGTTACAGATATTTCCCCAAACACAAGTAAAATTCTCTGTCTGGTACAAAAAAAAACCCCCACCCTTTCCTCCAGAGCTGAAATCCTTCCCAGCGCTCTATTTTAAACCCAGAAAACTCTATAAGTAATACTTCAAATCCTATTAATAGTTAATTACGTTTGGCTTCTATTCAGCTTTGAACATTTCAAATGAAGGGAAAAAAAAATGAAAACACATTCATACTTCTGCTCGTGACAGGGGAAAAAAGTTACTCTAATTAAACATTCCTAAAAAATGTTTTTAATTTTTTTTTTTCCCTCCTCGCAATATTTCTCCATCA